ACACCAGAGAAATTCAAGAAGGATTACAGAAAGGACTTGAGAATACAGCCCTACAATTCCGTCTTGCAAGTCTTATGACCTTGGAGTGCTAAAGAATGGGGATTATGGGTGGTTTACTTTTCCATAGGCTTCATCTGCTGGAAGAAATGATAGAAACATAGAACAGTTTGAGTTGGAAAGGACCTTAAAGGTCATCTAGTTCCACCCCTTACATGAGCAAGAACACCTCCCACTATGCAAGGTTGCTTGAAGCTCTATCCAACCTGGCCTTGAACACTTCCAGTGAGAAGTGTTCTTCCCTGGGTAACCTGTTCTAGTGTCGCACCACCCTCACAGTGAAGAAATTCTTCTTAATGTCTAACCTAAATCTAACCTCTTCCAGTTTAAAGACATTACACCTTTTCCTGTCACTACAAGCCCTTGTAAGATGTCCCTCCCCAGCTTTCCTGTAGGCCCCTCTCAGGTACTGGAGGGCTTCTGTAAGGTCTCCCTAGAGCCCTTCTCTTCTCCAGGCTGAGCAACCCCAACTCTCTCAGCCTGTTTTTGTAGAAGAGGTGCTCCAGCCCTCTGATCATCTTTGTGGCCCTGCTCTGGACTTGCTCCAACAGTTCCATGTCCTTAGAGGGACCATGTACCATGCCAGACTGCCTTGTGGACATCCACCTCTCCCAGCTTGGTGCTCTGCTTACAGCAAGTTGCTGATGACTTAGAAAGCCAGCAGGAAACACACATGGTGCACCCCAGCATCTGCTCCATACGAGTGGGAGTGGAAGAACAGAGCACTCTTTGATGTCAGCTGCCCCTGGTAGTGCACCAGAGCATGTTATTTCATTATCCCTCTTAGACTGTAGAGGACTACTGTCCAAAAAATTACCCTGCCCGTTTTTAAAACCATTAGCAATTTCCTATTCTGGTTTTCAGGGTTTTTTTTCCATCACCACCTAGGAAGATTGCACTAAGCGCCATTCATGAACAAGGAGCAAGGAACTATGCCCACGTCCCTCCTCAGGAAAGCTTTTGCATTGCCTCAGGTCCTCTGGAATATGCCTCCTACAAGAGGTGCTCCAGAGCACAACCACAGGGCTGGCATAGATGTCAGGTTTTAAAATAAGGTATTCCTTCCTTTTCATAACATTAACAACATAGGAGATCCTGAAAGCTAAATGCAAACACACAAGCCACGCAGCCTTAGCTCCTAACACAATGGTAATGATGCTGTCAGTGCTGGCAGACACAGAGCATGGCCACTCCTCCACGAGTCATTCTGGTACCCTGAAGACAAGGAGCCCACATACGTGTAATTGCTGGTAAATTGAGTCCTTGTTGATAAAGTAGAAGCATGTCATTGTGCCCAGCCAGTTTATAATGTTGTCTTTCATGAGGTGAACATTCAGCAGAATGACAGTCTGTGTAAAGCAATATTCATGGTACAGAGTTCCTGAGAAAACTAATCCTACCACCCAGTGAAGGCTGGAACCTGTGGAGGCTCCTTCATACTAAAGTAGGTCAAAACCCATGGAAAACCAGGACCAAACCCTGAAGAACTGTGACTTCTTAGGCTACTGAGTACTTACAGATCTACCTCCAAGTATGCCAAAATGCAGATGACACAACTGGACCCCAGCCCCCTCATACACGTGTTGCCTGTATTTCTAGAGTATCTGAGGTATGCATTAGTTTTACAATCTGCATTTTTTATCTGTGCTGGCATTAAATTTCTGTTTATTACCATGCAATGGTGATGAGCACTCAGCGTCAAATCAATAATGAGCTTAAGTATCAGTCCCTAGATAATCAATGAAGAACTGAAAAATAATAAACTTCTATGCTGATTCATTTTTCACAGAAGTTGGCATCAAGCATCTACACAGGTAACTTTGCCTAGGCATAAAACTTGCAAGAATTCTCTCATGTTGTGCTCAGCTTCCAAATCCCACCTTCCTCTTTAAACCACTCCCTAAAAGAGCTCGATTCCTGAATGTCAGCTGGACTTGGGAGAGTGCTGTTGTGAGCACAACGGAGGCAGGCACGCTTCACAGACAAAAGCTTTTTGTTTTTTCCAAACCTCCTTGTAGTATCTTTTTCTGCCACTACATTTCACATCTGTTGTTTTTGGGTCTGGCAGTCCTTGACTCACGGAATTTCCACATATATTCTGACTAGATGTGTCTTTAACCTCAAGTGGACTGTCAAGCCAGATGCCAGATGCCCCCTTACTTCCTCAGTGCAAACTATCAGTAAACCTTAGCATAACTTTACTTTGAGCCTTAAACTAACAGCATGTGAAAAGATTAATATGAATAAATTCAAAACTAATCAGATCCCTTCTTTAAATGTTGACACAGTATTATTTATATCCCATAAATACCTTCTTGACTAAAATTCATCCCAGGAGATTGGCATCTTGCCAGTTCTATTCATATTTACTGTATTTATACAGTACAGTTGGCCAAGGATAATATTTAAGACAAAATATGCCTTAGGGTATATACAGTATCTCTTATAGTTTTCCTTTTAAATCTCCTCATTGCTAAAAATATTTAGTCTGAACTTTACAAAATGCCCCACAATGACCTATCAGCGATCTGTAGTGATATATTGCTGACTATGAGTATAATTAGAGCATATTTGTAATACTTGGGTTGTAGTCAGTTACTGAATGCTAACAACTTGTGGTAAAAACTGAACCACTGATCTTTCCCATGCCTTCCTTCCAGCAGCTTTTGACCTCCAGTGTGTTCACACTGATCCTCTCCTCCCTCCTGACTCCCTCCGACACAGCAGAAATTGTAGAGTTAAAAAAAATTCACTCCAAGACGTCTAGAAGAAAGTGTCCGCGGCAGCCAGAGCTGCGCTTTCAATTTCTTCCCTTAAAATATGGTGGAGCGATTTCTTCCTTTCTGTCTTTTTTGGAAAGGTTTGCTCCATCCAGCATAACTAGAGAGCAGTGGAAAAACAGTTAACCTACTTATTCTGATGTTAGCGACAGCCCTCGCACAGTAGTACTGGATCCACTGCTCACCGGCCCTCCGATCCCAAACGTCTGATGCACTCTGTTGGTAGATACCTGCAATCTCCTCTGCTCTTCCAAAACCTCTATTGATACTTCAGTACAAAATCTGGCCTCTGACAACATTTTAAAAATAGATCATCTTTTTGTCAACACCATCCAAGTCACACACCACAGATATTTTAATTTTCTGGAAAGTACGTGGCTGCATTTTGGACTATCGGTTCTTTGTAGTTTGCTCATGCGAGGAAAACAGAAGTGCTCAGGATGGATGTATTTCACAATTCTCAGAGACTCTGTTACAGGGTCAGCTCCACAAGCCAAGGCACTAGTATCAGTCTTCCTAACCTTTGCCCGTAGGTGCTCACTCCCCTGCTCGGGGCATGACCTGATGGGTCTCAAAACAAAGTGCTGTCTTCCACTAAAAACACCAGCAAAATACTAGTAAACCAATGTGGAAACCAGGCACGATTTCTGTGTTCTCACTATGGCTATGAATTACACTGAACCTCTCTGCTCATACCCACTTGGCTCCAAATAGACTTTTTTTTTTTTTTTCTCTAATTGAAAAAAAAAAAAAGTATTCCTTCCCTGAGGGCAATAAGGGTGGAGTGTATTTATCGTGGCTATTATGGATGGTGCCATAATTACAATAATAAAATGGTTCTGACTGCCAGGATGTCCTGTACCTGATGCTGTCATTTAAGAATAAAAGAAGGAGGCAGCTGCACCGATACCTTGGCTGGCAACCTAGGACTATCACATGCAAGACAGAGCAAGCCCCAAAGCTACAACTTGCTAAACTAAAAGGGGAAAATACAATTAGAAACTCTGGGATAAAGTTACCAAGATGGCTGCATTATCTATTTAAGCAAAGCAAGAGGTATGTGCTTTTCAAAACCAGACAGCAAGTATATAGGGCATCAAGGGGCGGGGGAAGGAAGAGAGAGGAAAGCAAGCTACAGGCAAGGAGCAGGGACTAGGGTTTGGATACACAAACGGTGAAGTTATTTTCTGCTTCTGGTATTTCACTTTTCTTGGTATGATGACGAACTAGATTCTTTTAAGGGAGTGGGCTGCTTTTTCTTTTTTTTTTTTTTCCCTTGCTATACACTTAAACTTCCCTATCAAAACAAAAAGCCATGTCGTTTTGACTATTAATCATTTTAAGTGGATTTGGTCAGCACAGTACATTTCTACAATTTTTTTAAATTTTTTTTGTCTCTGAAAAATGTGGCATGATCACTAGAAGGTCGTTAAAACCAGCAAAAAAGCAGACGGGCTGAGACGGGTTCCAAGAACCAAGGCTACCCAGAAGGGGAAACTTTTTCTGTACTCGAAATGAAAGTGCCCATGAACTGAAACGGGAGGCTAGTTAGAAGTGGGAAGAGGAGGGAGGACCTCTGTGCCTCTGTCCTCTCTGAGCACCAATCTGAATAGCAGCCTGTGGGATGATGTTCTGGAGGGGCGCAGAAAGAAGAGGGGCTGGTGACTTGTTTTTTTAAAGACCTCCTTTTCTTTTCAGCTATGGAGCGATGGAAACCTGCCCGATCCAGACACTCCAAGGGAAACAACAGCAGTGGAAAGATATTGGCTCTCTGCAGAGGCTGCACACAGGGCTGTGGGGGAGCTAAACCCAGTGCTAGGGACGGAGCAGGAACCTGGGTGGGTGCAGCTTTGCTCAGGTACATGGTGGTAGAAAGCAGGGACACCTTTAGGGCTTCCTGGTGACTTCAAAGACGATGGGAAAACTCGTGAGTGTAGAGGGACAACTGACACCCCCTAACCCACCCAGGCGTACATATAGCCCACCACTTAAACGAAACCCTAGAAACCACCACCCAAGCAGATGCTGAGGGTAAGTGTAAACTGAGCACAGAAGGCAGATTATGATGCATGGGGCTGGTATTTGAAGGTGCTGGGCACTGCCAAGACTCGGGGGGGGGTAGGGGGGGGAGAAATTACACACACATGCACAAACACAGAGGACTTACTTTCGGGGTAAAAAGGCTGCATGTCTATTTTGTAAACTTCTTTGGCGTAATACTCCTCGTCGCTCCTCTCCCTTTCACAAGTGGCAGCTCTGTGGTTGGCTTTCTCTTGCAGCAGGTCCCTGGTGCTGTTGTAGATGGAGATGACCTCCGGGGGCACCTCCTCGGGCTCGGGGTACTCATCCGGAGGGCTGGTGAGCTTCAGTTTGCTCAAGATCTGGCCCCGGATCGCCTCGATCCTCTTGCGCATAAACTGATCCATGTCGAGGGTGCTGCAGGTAGACAGGCTGAAAGCCACGGTGGCCAGATCCACGGTGAGGAACACGCTCAGGAGATAGCAGTGCATTTTAAGTGTTTAAATACAGCGCCCC